TCTATTCCGGGCAATGCCTGCAGGGGGCGCGCGGGGACAACCTTGCTGTAGCCCTGCCTTCTATGACGGTGGGGTTTAGAGTTTAGGGGTTTAGGGTTTAGGGTTTAGGCTGTAACCCTGAGGGTCCATGTACTCATATAGTATATACTTTGACACCAAAGTACTTATACAGGGACTACTGTAAGACCAAAGTATTTACTAGTTGGGCACATGGGCCCTGAGGAAGAATGTGCACAGCGGGTCTATGGCCCAGGGACTCGGGCGTTCAACTTCTCGGGATGATGTTATGAAGACAACCCTAAACCCTAAACCCTAAACCCTAAACCCTGAAGCAGATTACGATGACGACGTCTACAAATCCGGCAAAGGGCCTTGGTGCTCTCAACGGAGTTGGCGGGAGTTTTTCATGATGACAGTTTGGCGGCGATGGTGATGGTGATGGTGGTGGTGACGGTGATGGTGATGGTGATGGTGACGGTGACGGTGATGGTGATGGTGATGGTGATGGTGATGATGGTGATGATGATGATGATGCTGAGGATGATGATGATGATGATGATGGTGACGATGATGATTGGAGAAAAGTGACCATGGTACACGACATCGTACAGGATCACCATGGAGATTGTCATGACGGGAGATGAAATGATGTGATGTGACGCAATGCTGAAAATGGCGACGACCACTAGTACCAATAGCGCGAGTATCACCTGCGGCTTCGAATACCACTGCTAAGTACAACCACAAGGACAATTACCTCCTCCCTTGGTCCTTCTCCTCCTACTTACGAGGATGACTGACGACTACCACAGCGACCACGGTTGCGACCACGAACAACAACAAAAGCAAAGATACAAACTGCCCATCCACATGGAAAGAAACAAGTCAATTGATCGGCCTCGGGAGGGCCTGAACATCTGAAATGCCCTCTGAGCAGAACAGGTTTTTCAGTGCTATGAGCCTTTAGGATTAAGGGTTTAGGGTTTAGGGTTTAGTGTTTAGGGTTTAGGATTAAGGGTTTAGGTTTCTTTTTTGTTGAGCTCCTTTTGGGGGCCCGAAGGGTCTCGAGAAGCGTCTACCGCCAGGAGAGAAAGCACCACTGTTCGGCCTAGCATGACAAGCATGAAACTTCGTCATCCTCATAATATAGGGTTTAGGGTTTAGGTTAGGGTTTACCGCATCAGCACACCCTTCAAGTTGATCTGCTGCATCATCTGGGGTCGGAGACGGCGCCCGAAACACCCCTGTAGACTCCTCGCTGTCAATCCCTCCTCCGAGGTTCATCGTAGATTCCGCCAGAGTCAACCGATGAGGATTTAGAGTATACATTCTCAACAAAATTAATTCATCAACCTTATTCTTATTATAGGGTTTTGGGGTTTTGGGGTTTACAAGCTTGACAAGTTCGCATTCGCGGAGAAAGCGCTTGCGCACTGATGCTGACCCTCAGATCGCTAGGTTTTTAAAGGGCATCGAGCCAAGGCGAAGGCTCCAGGACAAGGCCAAGCTGAGGTGCTCAAGCTGGAAGCGTGAGCAGCTGAGCTAATGTAGGAGCCTGAAAAAGAAACCCTGGCCCTATAAGCCTAATATATAAGGGTTCATATTAAGAACCCTAATAAAGGCTCAGGGTTNNGTTTCTTCATCAGGTTCCTACATTAAACAAAGCACAAGCAAGAGGCCCAGGGGTGTTTTGTTCTCGGAGAGACTCACCGCTAGAGGCATGTGTCGAAAGCCAATGTGAGATCTGAATGCTCGCCGTGATCCCCAAAACCGCTCACTCTGGGTGCTAGATAGTATCTTCATATGAAAGTATTATTGTGTATGATAGCTATCACAGTATCTTATTATATTAGACCATGCAACACAACAGGGCTCTGCATGAATCCTTACAGCTGCCCTTCCCCCCCCCCCCCCCCCCCGCCCAGTGCGAAGATGCGGCCTTCCCAGCAGCTTTCACGGCCGCTGCGATGACAATGCTCATAGTCTCCTCCGATCGAAGAGGGCCTAAACCCCTACCTAAACCCTAAACCCTAAACCCTAAACCCTAAACCCTAAACCCTAAACCCTAAACTCTAAACCGTCGAAGAGGGCCAAGGGTTTTTATGGTTCCGAGTCTCAATAGGGTTTAGGGCCTTTAG